CGATACCAGAAGGGGAAGGTGGGAGAGAAAGGGGGAACTGATCACTATGATCTACATACAACCGATCACAATGATCTCCCCCTCGCTAGGGGACAGACAACAGAAAAGTAGTGAAGGGAGATATCGGTCAGTGCTAAGACATGAAAAAATAATAATTTATAAATGATCAATGGTTCGTGAGGGAGGGAAGATGGGGGAGGGAGGGGGAAAAATGAGGAATTGATACCAAGGTCTCAAGTAGAAAGAAAATGTTTTGAGAATAATGACGAAAACAAATGCACAATGTGCTTGACACAATGGATGGACTGTGTATGGATCATGTTAAGAGTTGTACAAGCCCCCAATAAAATGATTTGAAAAATAAAAAAGCAACCATTAAGCACTACAAGTTTTCCCAAAAGACATTTCTGACCTTGTCAACGGATTTTTATTTAAATTGTTCAGAAAGAAATAAGTGGCAGTAGCTGGTGAAAAGAAAAAAGGAAGAGAAAGGTCCAAGCCCTAAAGACACTAATACTTATGCCCAAGCCATCTGCTGCATCATGAGACTCAACTCTGTGATGCAGGCGGAGCCTTCTCCAGAGGGTTTTGTCATCTGCTTTCTCATCCCCGTCACACTGGGCTTCTGGGGTTCATGCAAAGGAAACAAAGCAGAATGCCTTACCAAAGGACTTAAGCTTGGCACGTAGCTCCCCAAGAATAGAAAATGCCAAGAGAACAGAACTGATAGGTGGCATAGGGTTCTTCTCCTCTTTCAGGGACTCGGTGCATAAATGAAGTTCTGTCTCCAGGCAAGATTCCCAGTTGTTGGTATCTAGGAGAAAAAGGTGATGTGTTATCAGCTATCTCAGTTTAACACAACATGTGCTCACTTCCCTATCAGAGTGCATACTCATTCCCTGAAGACTGGGCAGGACGACTCAATATCATTTCTAGGCACTTACACTGAATCGTGTACGTGGGAAAAATTCAATATATACTTACTGAATTGGGGCCGATGGGGGGAGGGGGGACCTTTCTCTACTGAGATCTCTAACTACATGATTTTATCACAGCACATTTCTAATGCAACCACATGTTAATTGTGACATGTCCGTGGCATCACTTGAAGGCAGGTCATGACTATTTTTTGTGGTGTTCAAAGAATCCAACCAAGTTCAAAACCAAGGCGATGTGCCCACAGTAAAAGCCTATGAACTGTGCACTCAATGACAATGAAGGCCTGGGGTGAAAAGTGAGGCCCTTGCCTCACGGAAGACCTGCTTTTCTATGTTCTTCCCTACCAGGTAAAAAGCCAGGCTGCCAAACACATTCACAGGCCAGGAGCGTTACAACAAAGAGTTCAGCAACCTGCCACCTTCTCTTCATTCTCAAGTGGGCTGGGGACAGGATTAAAAATTTTCTAGATTTTATCCTTCGAAACACCTGACATGCACATATACACACATACGTAAGGGATTTGGAAGTCAACGAAGATTTAGAAAAGGGAACATGGAGGAGACTGTAAACAATTTCTAGATTCAATGTTGGAAAATACAAGAGGGTTTCAAAAGGTTCGTAGGAAAACAGAACTAAAAGAGAATTTTCCCATGGACTTCCTGAAGCCTCCTCCCTCAGACAGGAAGCTTAACGGCATTCCTTTCCATGTACTCTCTGCAGTCTCACTCTCCAGGCCCCCAAGACATCAAAGGGGGCTCATTCCCAGAGGTGTGCAGAGAAGGTTGAAAGCCAAGGAACATAAATCAAAGCCAAGGCCAGAGTAATCCTATTACTTTATCTTATAAAAATCACCCCTCTTCTACTGACAGGCAGGCTTTCAGAAATGTCATGTACATTTTTCTAAAAATCAACATTTTTCTATTAAATCATCCTCTGTATTTTAATAACATCAAGTATCTCCAAGATGGCCTTCCTTCCTCAGCAGCAGAAAAATGGTTAACCAACTTCTCTCAGCTTTCTAACCAAGAGAACCAGCTGGGGCTGGAACTTCAGGAATGGGTACAACCTACAGTGTGGTGGGCACCAAGAGTGTTCTTAAACTGCTACCACCTCCTCTACCACACCCTCACCCCCTCAGCACATGGACACCCTGGCCCCTCAGGCCCTCACCCCCACCCCCACCCCCATACACACACCTAGGAAAGGGGACAGAAAGAGAGGCATAGGGAAGTAAAAGGAAAGGCATTCTGGGCCCCACATGAATTGATCCTAGCAAAGCATGCTACTTAATGTGATAACTCAATGCAGACTTAGAAGCCTAATGAATGAAACCTCTTCATCTGCTAATATAAAACATCTAGAACATTTTCTGGGGTAAATGCTAATATAAAACATCTAGAGCATTTTCAGGGGCCAAACTGGTTCTGGTAGATAAAGGCAAGAATCCATCGGCAGTCAGCAGCACCTTTTGACGGTGGGAACTTCCACACAATCAGCTTCTGCCACTCTTCTCCAAGGTGATAAAGGATGTTCTGTTTCTGTATGGTCAGCTCCATGCTGAGAGATTTCAACATTTTTAAGTCAAAGCACTTTCTGGACTTTAACAACTTCAAGTGTTTCTGTGCCTGGTAGTGAAATGGAATCATTGTCAAGCATCCCACCTGGACACAGGGCAATTAGCATATATTTGCACAATGATAAAGAATACCCAGACACAACATTCACTAAAAACAAGCACTGCACTGATGGCATATGCTTTGGCGGCAGCACCAAATACCTCCTCCAGACGCTGCGCGGCACTGACATACTTCTTCTCTGCTAGCGCGCAGTTATAGTCTTCAATAGCAGTGGAAAACTGGAAAGAGAAGTGTAAGTGGTTAGGGATTTTATTATACACATCCTATTGTTTCCAGTCTGTTATGCCTGCTTGTTTGTAGTTAAAATAAGATGAAAAAACAGAACACCATATAGTCAGGAGTTGCCTGAAGAACAATGGGAGCAATGGAAAGAGACAGTAATGACCGAAACACTGAAGTATGTGAGTCTGGTTTACTGACCTGCTGTAGCTGTTTTAGCAAACTCAGGACGACTGAGTCTCTTTCCAACTGTTGCTTCAGGTCTGTAAATTCAGCAGTTGATACGTGAAGATCTCGGCAGACCTAATTCACACATCAAAGACAAGTACTTATGAACTAAACCACAGCTATAAAATAAAACATTATAGCAAAGCAATTAGCATTATAATTCAATATAATTCACACAAATTTAAATGCTAGTACAAAAGAATAAAAATCAAAAAATAGCAGGGAGTCCTGCTAAGTCTACTTAGCCCAAATCCTTTAAAGTGTTAGAGAACAAAGATGTTACTTTGAGGATTAAGGTGAGCCTGACCCAAGTCACGGCATTTTTAAATGACTCATATAACATACAAGCTGGGCACTGAATAAGGAAAACTGTAGAAAACTAATGCATTTGAAGTATGTACTGGAAATGTTAAAGGTACCAAGGGCTGCCAAAAGAACAAAAAATCTATCTTGGAAGAAGTACAGCCAGAATGCTCCTTAGAGGCAAGAATGGTGAGACTTCATCTCGTATAATTTGGACATATTATCAGGAGACCAATCCCTAGAGAAAGACATCATTTTTGGTAAAGTAGAAGGGACAGCAAAAAAGAGGAAGGCCCGAGACCAGATGGATTGACATGGGGATGCCAACAATGGGCTCCATCATATAAGAACGATTGTGAGGATGGCACAGGACCGAGTGCTGTTGAGTTGTTACACTTAGGCCTCTATGAGTTGAAACCCACTCAGTGGTTACTAACAACATCCGGCATAAACTTCTTGCTGGGAAATAAACATCTATCCAGCAACTACCACAGTATGTAGGCCTTGTAAGTGCTCAAAAAACATACTCAGTTAATTGAAAGGACCTCCTTATCACATCCATCAATTGAACCCAACTCCTCTTCTAGAGCCAGAATGTCCATCTTTCACCCATAAGACAGGTTTTCAAATCGTAAAGGTGTTTCTTTTCAAGGCCAAAGACCCTGGATTTCTTTCACTGGTCTTCGGATCGTACTAGACGTTCTCATTCAAAGCGTCTCTCAAAGACAAGAGCCAGACAGAACAACGTCACACCAGTTTCAACTGGCCTGCATTAAGGAGAGCTCATACCTTTCTTCTTCCAGACATTTTATTTCTACCAGCAGTCTGAGGTTGCACTATTGACACATCGATCAAATAATCAACTAAGTACACATACATATTGGGACCACTGCTTGAACTGTGTCAGGGTTGTGGAGAAATAAGCTGCTTTTTATTGAATTCTCTACTCAGGATGATTGGTGTATTAGTCTAGGTACTTTGGAGAAACAAATCCACAGCAACTCACGTATAAGAGAGAGTTTTATGCAAAGAAAATGTGCATCACGAAAACATCCCAACCCAATGCTGCCCAAGCCCACAAGTCCAACATTAACCCATACCCAACACCAATCCACAAAGTCCTTCACCTCACAAAACAGGCAATTATGCCGAATGCAGGAGGAAAGCTGAGTCAGTGAACGTGTAAGCATCTCAGCACTGGCAGGGGTCTCCACATGGCTGCTCCAGCACCCAGGGCTGCATCGGGATAGATCCATGCGGCTTCTCCTTGGGGATGTCTTGTAGGAAATCCATCTTGCAAGCTGAAGCAGGGAACTGCTAAGGCAGCTGCGCCCGATGCAACCATCACAAAACAAGAGACCCGAGAACTAGAAAGGCGAGGCTTCACCACCCATTTATCCCTCCACCTTTCAACCAGACCCACATGTGATTATCGCCAGGCTGGCACAATTAACTAACTCAATTGGTGAATGGGCTATGCGATAAAATGTCTAGGTAATCAGTGGTCTCTTATGACTCAAGTTTTACAAAGATGCCTTTTCTTTCTTTAGGGACTCACCTAGCGAACACACTTGATGCCTTTTTCTTGGTATTAAGTTCCAGAACCATGACCACGGAGTCCATATCCACTCATAACAACCTTCTATAGAGTCCCCAAGATGGTAAATCTCTATGGGAGCAGACAACCTCATCTTTCTCTCCACAGAGCAGTTGGTGGGTTTGAACCACTGACTGTACAGTTAGCAGCCCACTGCCTAACCCACAGCACCACCAGGGCTCCTTTTTCTTGAGTTTAAGGACCTTTAAAATACTTTCAGGGCTCATTTTGGACATCAGTGGGTCCTGCGTAGCAACTTGGAAATAGAAGTAAAGACTAGCCAAGACTGGCATTTGTTCAAATCCTCTTATCGCCTTGCATACTTTCACCTGCCTGTTTTTCTTAAAAGAAAACTGAAGGAGAAAAATCCCAGTGAGGCAAAATATACAAAAATGCTTTTTAAATTATAAAATGGCTATTTCTACTTCCAGACTAGGTTCCTTCTTAATGGGATGGCAGTGCTTCTGCCTACATGGTAGAAAGTTCTAGAATCTGCCAGGCTGTCCCCAAGAAGGCAAACTTTATCATGAAGGGACAGTGCAAGGGCGATGATTCTCGTTTCCGTGGGAAACTGGCTTTCCCACAGGAAGGAGACCACTTGGAGCTCGCTCTCCAAGCCAGTTTTCCCGAAGACAGCAAAAGGGCGGGCGGCAGCAGGGAGCTGAGGCTCGCCTGTGTCGAAAGCTGGGGCCAATCTAAGAGAACGCTAGTCAAGAAACCCAAGCATTATTCTGTGTCTTGCCTTTGTATTCTTGCAATGGTACCTTTTGATGAGCAGAAATTTCTAATTAATATGGAGCAATTTATTAATATATCCCTGTGGCTAGTTTTTGAAGTCTTGAATTTTAGAGATTTTTGCCTAGTACAGTGTTATGAAGGTATGCTCCTATTTTTTTTTTTTTAACTCCTGATTTTATTACTCAATTTCTTTTTTTTCTATTTAGAGTAGTCTTCGGTATCTGGGAAGCCTGGCCTCCCAAGACCAGAGTCCGTTGTAGCTGGTTGTTGTTGGAAAGGGATGGGTTGGGGGATGGGGTTGGGCAGGGAGACCCCGCTCTGCTGGTGGTCCTGGATGGAGAAGGCAACCTGCACTTCACAGAGCCTGGGGTGTGGCGGGAAGGGGAAGAGGCAGCAGTAGCAAGCCTGGGGAGATGGGACCCACCTCAATCCCCAGCTTCATTCTCTGCTAACGTTTCCCCACTGGTGGCGTTCTCTGCAGTCTTGGGGGCCTTCTTTTTTTGAGTTTTCCGGCTTGCTGAACCCTGGAGGAGAACCTTCAGCTCTGCGTCCTGGACCTCCATCTCAGACTTGTTGATGTCAGGCTCAAAGGGACCACTGGTTATCCGCATGGGGCCACTGGGCATGAGCAGAACTGTAAATGTAAACTGGACAACAAACTCGCCCTCCTTCTCATAGAGAACATTAAATGGTTGCAGCAGTTCATGTTTGGCGCACTCTACCACACCCATCCGGGCCTTCTTCTCATCTTCAAATGCTCTTAGAGTAAATGGCATGGCATCGAAACGTCTCTCCACCTCGCTGAAGGCACGTGACGTTTTCATTTTCAGGCCGTCTTGTTTAGAGGGGTCCCGTGTATATATGGTGGTTCTCTGTCCTGCATCTTTGGCCTGGCCTCTCCTGAGCTGACAAGAACATCCACAGCACATATCTCATGTACTTCAAACTCAGCTTTTCCATGGTCCTTCTTCCGTTGGTCTGTGGGATTCTGGATAATGATTTTCTCTCCATCGATGACATGCTGCTTCAGTTGGTGTGATAGCATACCTTGTATCGGTGTGCAATTAAACGAATGGGCAACTTTGTTCCAGGCTTCTGTCACTTGTGCGTTCTGGTTTCCAGGTTTGACGAGGCGTAAGGCAGCCTCAGCACAAAGGTGAGCTGCCTTAATAGCATCTGCTTTCCGCCCTGTCACTGGGGTCCCCCAGCTATATCAACCACAAAAGTGTGCGCCACGTTGGCGATGAAGCCATCCACGATGAAGCCATCCACGTGGACTCCAAGGTCAATTTTTACCAAATCGCCTTCGTTGAGAATATAGTCCTGGTTGCTCTTCAAAGGGGAGAGGTGACATACAGTTATTGACTGAAAAGCTGGTCGGGAAGGCAATACCTTTTCTTTCTTGAAGACCTTCCCAGCCTCTTCCATAATCATGGCGTCACCTTTTTCACACAGGCTCAGGACCGACATATCTGAGCTGGAAGCTTCCACCGAAGACCGAAGGACTCGGTTGGCGATATTGCCCCCATCTTATACTTGGTCACGACCAGGTCCTCGGCCATAGTTTGCTCCTGCTGCTCGTCCTCGCCCGACATCTTCGCAGCACCACTGCCGCAGCCTCATCTCTGCCTCCCTTCCCAGCCGAAGCCCGTGCCCAGAGTCCTCCATCCTCGAGGAGAGCACGAAAGAAAGCACAAGCAAGCAAAGGAGCGGGCGGGCGAGCGAGGGGCTGGGAGCGAGAGGGGGGAGGCGCGGGGCACGCTGGGACAGCGAGTCTTTTTCACCACCAACTTCTGGCCGCCCTCGCGGATTTGTGAACTACCGGTATGCTCCTATTTAACCTTCCAGAAAGATTAATTTTTATAAATTTATACTTTACTTTCAATTAAATCTTGAAAGGACTTTATCTTTCTATTTTTTAAAAAGGATTTTGGCCAGTATTAGCTTATTGTATTTCATGCTATTTAAATATAATTTGTCAAATTATACACATTACTGAATTTTTTATTAACATTGCATTTAAACTATAGCTCAATTGTAAAACATGGAATCTCTTAATGCATGCATGCATTTGTAGAGTATATTTTTGCATTTATTAAAATCATCTTTAATTTCTCTCAAAATAAAAGAAATGCAAGCATTATGACCTCAGGGGAGAGAAAATGCTAAAAGATCTAATATTAAGCTTCATCTGCTTTTATTTTGTTACAAAGACAATGAAATCCTGATGTCGGTGTGTTTTTAATTCTAAAGTGATAATCAAGTATAAGACATTATTATTATAGATAAAAAGAAATTCTAACATCAAAAAAGTTGTTCAAACTAATTTGGGCACTATTTCTCTTTTAAAGTTGGCAGTCACCCTAAAATCATCTAGATTAACCTACATTTACTAATAAGGAAGGTGAGTCTTGAAAAGTTACACAGCACTGAGCTTTCTAAAGAGTCAGGAAGCTCAACTGCCTCCTACAAAGCTACCCAATAAAACAAACTTCAAAGAGCTCTGGTAGAGAAGTGGGTTACACATTGAGCTGCTAAGCACAAGGTCAGCAGTTCAAACCTACTAGCTGCTCTGTGGGAGAAAGATGAGGTTGTCAACTCCTGTAAAGATTTACAAATCTCAGAAACCCACAAAGGTCACTATGAGTTGGAAATCGGCTCAAAAGCAGAAAGTTAGGTTATTTTTCAGTTAATCTCACCTCACTCTCTATCCGAGCTTTCAGCTGGTCAATGTCATCAGATAGCTTATCCACCTGGGTAACCAAGTCTTGGGCACTTTGCATGCTGGGCAGGAATTCACTGTACTTCTTGCTGATCATACTGCATACCTCACCCTATAATAGAAACCAGAAGATTAGATGAGTAGGAAGCCCTTTGAAAAATATACAGTCTGGGTGATACCGGGAGGGTGGAGTGGATCTACGTATAACCTCCTACCTGGGAGATGGACAACAGAGAAGTGGGTGAAGGGAGGCGTCGGACAGTGTAAGATATATGACAAATTAATTTATAAATTATCAAGGGTTCATGAGGGAGGAGGGAGCGGGGAAGGGAAAAAATGAGGAGCTGATGCCAGGGGCTTACGTGGAGAGCAAGTGTTTTGAGAATGATGAGGGCAATGAATGTACAAATGTGCTTTGCACAATTGATATATGTATAGATTGTGATGAGTTGTATGAGCCCCTAATAAAATGATTTTTTTTAAAAAGGAAAGAAAAATATACAGTCTGCATGGCAGGGAAGGTTGGTTAGTAATAGGGAGCTAACAACAATGAATCCAGGGAAGAAGAAATTCCCTACAACTGATCATGGTGATAAGTATACAATTCTTTTGAATATGGCTGAACTATTGAATATATGATACATGAATTATATGCCAATTAAACTGTGTGTGTGTGTGTGTGTGTGTGTGTGTGTGTGTGTGTCCTGTCCTCCGAGACATGGCATTTTTCATATGGGAGCCTTCTTGCCACACCCATTATCCATTTACTTTTCATCCAAGGTAATGAGTTTCTTTGAAAAGCACATTTCTCCCATCTGTAAGGACCCTATAACAAATTAGTGGGGTGCAAGAAGACATAACTGTCAAACCCCAACAGTAACTAAGTTATACACTTTCCAGCTAACACTGGGAAAAACAAAAATGAGCCAGAAGATGTCGTATTTAACTCAAGACTGTGACCACCCATGTCCTGCACCTATCTCATGGAAAAGAAAGTGAATGGACAGGGTAGAGCCGTAGTCTGAGACCTTCATCTACTGGTCTCAGTCTTCTGCACTGCAACACTTTGAGGTCTATTCTTCAAGCCCAAATTGATTTGTCTCACCAACTCCTTGCACTGAAATTCGTTTCATAAACAAATCATTCAAAACTTCATACACATTTGTCCGTGTTTTAGAAGAAACAATAGAAAACTGTGCTTGCCCACAAATAGCTTCACCAACACTAAAGATACTCCGCACCTAAAGAACCAGGTTAGAGGGCCGACATGTGTTACAGTCCTTCAAAAGCACAAATGAGAAAGCGATTTTCTCTGCCGGAGAGAACGTTGGATCTGGGCCATGCAGGTGGCTACATCTGACTTGTCCCCTGGGTAGAAACACAAGAGGTAAAAACGTAGAAATGACAAGCTAGGCCAAGAAGAACGCTCACTATTAGTGGAAAAACTGGCGCTAGATTTGGGGGGTGGAATGTAAGTGGGAGAATGATTCCGGGATGATTCTATTAGGTCCAGGGCACGTCCGAACTCTGAACAAGTATCATCTTTCTGTCCTATTGGAAAGGCGGGGAAGAGCGAACACCACGTTAGAGATGGCGATGCGGGGACGATTTCAAGCGGGTGGAAACCAAAGGGGTGTTAGCGCTGTCTCCTGTGCCTTTGCGGCACGCTCCCCAAATTGCTCCCTACAATCCAGATTGAGGCGGGGACGCATCAGTTTAGCATCCCGGAAAGCTAACACCATCACAGCGGAGCGGCGGGCGCAGTGCGGGGCGACGCGAGCGCTTTCTGTGGGTCTCAATTCGGGGTCCGTGGAAGTGCCCTTCGTCCTTTGGTTCCGTTTGAATACTCAGCAAAGGGCTTGCGGGTGGGGAAGGAGCTCCATCCACGTAGCGATTGGTTGCAATGACACAAATGTCCCTCGGAGGACGGCACGTGGCTCCCAGACACACACACCGGGGG